ATTTAAATTTGAAAATCTCTTCTATACGAGTACATTGTACAGTATATATACGGATGTCAATGTCTTCATTGAATTTTTCTTGTAGAATTGTTTCTTGTCTTCCAAAAGGTATTCAAAAAAAGAAGACCTTATTCAAAATTCGACAAAAAGACGATAGTCATTACATTTTCTGAATGATCGCCAGTGTAAAATAATTTTTATGATTTATCACGATATGAAAAAGTTATCCTAACTTTAGTGATTTTCTGGGCCAAATAAACTAGTTTGTTTGTATTGTACTGTAGTGTGTACGCATAGAATGCTACCGTATGCGCAAGGATGCGACTAAATTAAATGGAACAACAGAGCAACGACCCACTTCCGGTTAAGCATCCACTTCAAACCTTCAAGGACTACCTAAGTTACCTTATATGTGTAGAGTGTAATTTTAAACACGTTTCTGCTCTATGTAAAACTGCTCAGCGTCATTTGATCAAATAAAACTTCGCTCTTTTATTTTTCTCGCGATGATTAACGCCTGAAATCTTTGTTATAATTATTATATTGTTTCGCAAAGAACAGGTTTCTAGCAAGTACTTCCCTGTAACAGCGGCCCGCTTTAAAATGGGCCGACTTGACACACTTCTTTGAGAACACCTGACATTGGCGCTATATAAGAACCTAAAGACGAGTAGATAGATATTATTCTAAATACGTTTCTACCGTTTATTATTTTATTTATATTAATAACTATATTGTGCTTTGTAATTAAGTAAGTCGGCATATAGATACCAACATCGTATTTATTATTAAAGTTATAGTATCAAAATATTTTGATAAACAGTGGATAAACTTATGTTTTAGTTTAAAAATCGAACATTTAAATCATGATGGTAAAATGACATCTGACTTTAGTAATACAAGAATATTATCGTCGGCGTCGGTACAAAGGGATAAGCGACAAAAAAGTAAGAACTGCCTTTTTAATGAACTTTATCTAATTATGCACTTTATACAGTATTAACTTCTAGTAAAGAGTTGCTTATACCGATTTCAGATGAGTTCAGCCGTTTCATTATTACATTAATAATGTCTCACTAAAGTTTTCATAATTTTATTACTCGTAGTATTGAACCGTAGCCAAATACCTAGTATAACAATTTTGTTTGATATTACATAATGATAACGCCAAAATCGATTTTTAAGGTTCATTCTTATTCTGCTTAAACTGTTACTCTTATCGAAGTTTGGTTGCAATATCGTAGTGATGGAGACATTAGGATCTATGATTCACTTGATTTAATATTTCGTTCGATCTTTAACTCTCATCTTACAAACAAACTGGATGGACAGTGAATAAATGTTCGTCATACAATTATTTCTCAAAGTATGTCACTACGTGTCAAACTTAACCTGCTCCGACTGCAAAACCCCTTACGTGTTTTATACAAAATAAGATGCTCATTTTTTATAATAAAAATTAGTTACTCTTCTGTGGTAGGGCCTCGCAACAGTGTCCGCTGTTGTGTGTTGCAAGAATGAGCAGGAACGTCCAGGGAAGTACCACGACCTCATACAAGACCGGCGTGAAGTGGAAGTTTTATACTTCTGCGTTTCGTCTGGTGAGTGAGGTAACCAGGACTCACTTTATTAAAAGGTGGCAACGCATCTGCAAACCTTCGGGTGTTGCAAATTTCCATGGGTATCGTTTATCACTTAATATCAGGCTAACCACCAGCTCGCTTGCCATTTCACAAAGTTAAAAGTTAGTTAATCAAGCTTATAAGTTTGTTTAACCAACGTTGCATTGCGAAGAATGAGCCATCAGCCTAGCACAAAATTGTTGCAATTGTGTTTTATAAATGAACGATAACTTGTTCACAATTTAAAAACACCGAGAAGCGAAAAGCAATAACGAATTAGCACATGATATTTTAAACGTTTTATTGCTTATGTTCACCCTATTATGTATTTTACTGCTTCGACATTGACCAACACCCGGATCAATTATCTGTAGATTTATTGAATGTGTACTCCTCGAGCATTAATTTATCGCCAAGGAAATATCAAAATAATAGATCTAAACTTACACAAGATAGATGTTATGTACTTGGAAAACCAAAAAAAAGGTTCGAAAACAAATATTTATCATTATTGATAGGTGTTCCTAGACTTATAGGCGCAAAAGTATGAGAAATCTTTATGCATGTGGAGTCAAACATTAAAATAAATAATCAGCATCAACAAAAACAATATACATTTCGAGTAATTGCTTTGATTCTATCATAAACATTTTTACTGCGTATGCCTCAATAAAATGGGTTTATACAATTGTCAGTATAACTTAATTCTGCTAACGTGACGTAATTTCTTTATTTTATTGTGTCTTATACACACAATAAAATAAAGAAATTACGTCACGTTTTATACATTGTAATTATATACATTGTTTTTTTACGCAAAGCGAGGTTGTCTCGAAAACCTCGTCAAATCCTTGATCTACGAACGCAAAAAAATTAGACACTAAACGAAGAGCTACCTCGAAAAATTTCTCTATTAACAATTTTGATTCTATACATCTACGACGATAAATCTTACTTTACAGTCTGCAGTAATTTCATGATTTTGACCCAGAATTTTAATTTTCAATGTGGATTTTAATTCAGAACTTCACTATTTTTGTATATATTCAAAAATCTTTTATGACATAATTGTGTTACGTCTTTTATCATTAGCAATTCTTTTGATTCTTACGCTCAAAGAAATTAAAACTTCAGTAAAGATATCATTTATTCCTATATCTTATTGCTCCCATTCACAGGAATTGTCAATTTCTATCTACCGATATTGAGAAATGAAAGTATAGTCTCAAGGGAAATCTAACCCTGCCTATAGATTTTTAAGAATCTCAAGTATATGATATTTAGTCGTGAATTTCCATTGGGGGGATGGGTTTGACTATTTATATAGCAAATTAATACATCCTGAATCTGCATTTACATCTATTATGATATACTATTTCACGGGATCATTAATCATGTAGCATGCAAAACACTAGAAATAGTAATACTTCATGTTAATATAATGAAAGAGTAATTTATCTATAGAGTAATATATCGCCGCTAGAAACCGGCACTGGCAGTTGCGAAAAATTTTTCATTGCTTGTTCAATGATTTCTTGCATGCTTTATTAATCATTTTTATTTCAGGCGAAGATACACGTGCTCCACGTATCGCTTTGAGGGGAAGTTTTCAAGGCCGCAACACGACACGTTTTTTGTACTACGGAAAGATGAAATTCTGCACACTGAGAGGGAGTTGTGCCTTACACGGAATATGTAACGCGACAAAAATATTTTGTCCGGCGCCATTTTATGCGGCAAGTGTTTGTTATTTATGTTATATGGACCAATGAATAATTATAATTTAAATATCAGACGGCCCCGCGGAATAGTTTATCACATTACAAATGTTAATTAGGGCTGATGATAGTTGGCTAACGCAGTATCTAACGTTTCGTTTAAACTCAACTTTGATATAAATATCGTATTCTATTTTTTCTTTACTATGCGTTGATTGTTTATTATCAGTTTTAACGTATTGGGTACATAGTTTTATTTATAAAACATATAATAAAATACAAATTACAAATAGTCATGTAGTATGCGGTTAATGGTAATTTATACTATTAAATAAAACCGACCATTCTAATAATAAATTTCCTTTACGCGGTCGTCATAACTTTCGAGTGCATTTCAGTGGATCGATGCATTTTCGTAGCGTGGCTCACAACTAAACGCCTACGGACATGCCGGCTAAACATTCATCATTTATATTCCAATTTAACACTGGTCATTCACCTTTTCTACTATGATTCCCAGAAGAAAAACATGTAAAATATAAACATTACTCATTTCAATTTAAAAGTTTAAAATGACAATAAAACAAATAGTAAATGGACAATATACCAGAGAGTTAACTTAGTTTTATGTCTTTAAAAAACCCTAATAACAAACACCAAGAAATATTTATATATTGTATATAGCGTTCAATATTTAAGGTTTTTCATATTTACATCGTAGATGACAATCTAAATATTTTTATATAGTTTCTAATGAATCTTAGTCTCCAAAGTTACTTTCATACAATACACGTTATTCTAGTTATTCAAAACTCTAGTTATATTGAATCCATTAGAATATATTTAAGAATTATCATTTAAGTATATACAGGTCATATCAAAAATTAAGCCAAATAGCAGGACTTAACAGAAACCTAAATAAAACTACTTTATTTGCTACGAATTTTGCTGTCCACATTTCTGTCAACTGAAAGTACTTAAAATGGTTTTTATTTCGATCTCGAATATGATGAGCATCTTGATATTCAAACGTAACAAGAACCTACTGCTAAAAGCGACCTACTCAAAGAAACGTTAAACTATCGACCTATTTCGGTGTAGAATATTTACTAAAACAGTTCGTGATGTATAAAACACATGCATAAAATTTGTGAATGCAATTGAACTTGTCTAAAAGATAGGTATATTAATCTACGATTTTATTGTTTGCACGTAAACATAAGGCAGCGTTTATGTATTTAGAATTTTCTCATTTAAAATCAAACACTTTTTGTTTTTACTGTTATCAATTTTAGTAATCTAACTTCGATTACCTGTTATCGCTTATTGACGCAAACAGGTAGGAAGCATTAGTCATTTCTCTGTTTTGATTTTCGCGTGTGAAAAAATCGCTCGTAGCGTTTCCAACTCTACGCCTATTTAGTTAATACATATATCACATTATTTTGCGACTGAATCAATATTCACACACATCACATATTAGTTACGTAAATTAAATAATTAAAACAGTTTCAAGTGTGATTCGGTTATATTATTCGAGGAAAGCCTATCAAATATTGACAATTTTCAGCAGGTCGCGTCTACGCGGAGGGATACGCAAGACGTTGGCGTATATTTCGCTCTACATCTTATCACAAAGCGGCGTCAGACCGGCGCGCATATGGAACTGGCGCGAAATGGCCGCATTCAACACTGTGGGGTACCTGTGACGCTGAGCAAGGACATGGTGGGTCGGGCGTCCGTCAAGCCAGGCTGGCCCGTCGACCCGGGGCGGTCGGCGGGGCCGGCGCCTCACCGGCCGCCGCGGGGCGCCATTACTCGCACACGCGCGCCCTCTACGCGGGCCGGCGACCGACTGACGCCCAGCTACTCGCCTCGCCGCCTCGCCGCCGCGGACCTACAAACAACAGGACATGCCGCCGCCGCGCCGCCGGCCACGCGCTGCGGAACCCCGACACCTCTGTCGCCGGCTCACGCACTCACACATTGCACCGCGCCCGGCCGACTACCCGCGCGTGTGCGTAAACATCGCACGAAAGCTCGCCGCTTCGCCGCGGCTGCAAATAAGGCTTCGGGGGCGCATCCACGAGTTCTTAGTTTCAGGTTCGGCGCGCATGCGCAGCGGGAACGTCTTCTGACATCACCGGCACCCGGATTATTTCGCCCGGCGAGGTAAATAACCCTCACATCGATCGGACCCGGTTAAACCGGATGCAATTATTGCAGTGCCCTAGTCCCGTTAATGCAATTTTCGGTATCGCAGACGACCGCCAAAAACGGACAACAGACGTTATAACGGAACGATGAGTAGTAACACCATTTAGTTGTGACATCCCGACCCATATTTATAACGTTCGGTATGAATTTCAGGACAAATTAAATTTTCAAAAGAGCCTTCTACAGAAATTAAATAAAATTGAAGTTGTTTGTGAAATTAGCCACTTTGTTTTTGTAAAGTATTTCAATTGTTTAATGGCAAAACAGTTTCTTACAAAACAGTGAGCTGATATGCAAATGAAAATGTAAATTGAAGTTTAGCAACCGTAAACAAAGTTACGCTACGCACGTTGGTCGTGCCGTGACAATTTTAAAGTTTTCTTCGCAACGAACTTCCCAATACTTGCTAAAGGACTTTGTGAAATGCGTAATTTTTCCCTCACGTTTCAGTTGCGGGGAGCCTTAGCAGGGAAAAGGATTGAAACACGTGTCAACTTTAACCGTGAGCCGGTCATTGGTCTTAGTACTTACGCTGGAGCATCTACCAGAGGGCAGTAGCCTTTCAGTAGGCAGTCTTTGGTTATAAACTAACTATACCCTTGCGGTGGGGCAGATTCTTTTGAAACGTGAGATCATTTTTAATTTTTGGAACTACAGTGAAACCCTGAGTAAAAACTCAATTTTTAGCTTTGATAACTTAAATCTCTAACAATTAAAATTGTTGGATTTTTATCTTTAATAAAAAATAATAATCATTGTAATGATAGTGATAGAAATATCGTGCCAGTCCCAACTACATTCAACGTGTGGAATGAATTCTTATAAACTTCACTCGTCCCTTTTATTTTCCATATATTAACGTATGTCAAAAAAAAATTATCAATTACTTAATTTATTATATTATGAGTGTTTGTACTTGACTATTTATTCTTTTTTTTTGTCCTTATTTAAAAATATTGAAAATAATATCTAATGAAATAGCTTTTAATGACGCCCAGAGAATTTTCTGCAGCAGTATTAATGCAGAAAGAAAAACTAGCACGTACTCATAAAGGGATATTACTGTAGATAGATAAAAGTACAACAGATACTTAAGAAGTACCTTAAATCATATGGAAAATTCCCATTCAAAACACGTTTTATAATGATCTGTATTTTATAATAAATCCCATTGACAAAGATTAAAATTATCTAAACGGTCATTCTATGGGGGAGGCCTATGTACAGCAGTGGACTCAAACAGGCTGAAATGATTATGATGGTCATCACCATCATTCAAACGGTCATTAGCCTAACTCAAAAATATAACATATATTTTTCCTATATCAACTACCTGCTAGTATTATCTGTACACTATTTCATTATATATATTATCTGTACATTATTCCTATTATATATATTTATTATTTCTATTTGCTGCAATTAAATTATCTTCTATAAATAGAAAAATGACATACAGATGTAAAGCTGTCTTCAGTGCTTCCTCAAACAAAAACAACCCTGTCAATGAGCCGTTGTACATCGCTGTTACGTAATGCACACGTGGTGTCGGCGTCATTTGGCCCTCCCCGACTGCCAACGGAAAACCACGAGCCCGAATTCGAATATCGATCGTAAGTAGCGAACGCGACACTGTCGTGACGTCACCTACGCTCGCGGGTGTATGTGCCGCTTTCGAGTTTATTACTGTGCACCTAAACGGGACGTGTTAAGGTTCAAAATTAATTATGTACTACATTAGATACAATCGATTCGGCACTGTAGTAGCTTCAGCCAGTGCCACCACTGAGTCTCCTGACCCACATTAAACGCGATAGCCGTTGCCTTATAAAACGTGACGCGGTATAAGCCTAGACCAATTTTATAACTACTTCAATTAAATGGCATCGAGACAATTAAAAAGAAATATGAACCCGCGAATTTTTCTAAAAAACTGAGTTAGTTGGTTTCTGTAGCATAATCGAATAAATGATACTCAGAGCTAACTTCTTCCCCAGCCTTTCTAGTAAACTTCATCTACCCAGAATACATTTATATGGTCGAGATGAAATTCTGTTTATTGCTGTGCATCCAAAATTCGGTTCTACGTTAAGTTCCGTATATCACGTAAATTAAATACACGTTTGTATTTTAAGTGGCTATAATTTTTTTTAATGGAATCAGTTTTACCATCAAAGCATAAGTTTTGTCATATTTGGACATAGTATGGACTTTCGAATTAACTAAACATATACAACATGCGTGCATCAATGAAACGAGGGGATCGACTGCTACCAGGGGTCTGGCACGCAGACCGTGACATCGGCGGATGTTTACTGTCTTGTATCTTGTATTAACTGATGTGTTTGCTTTCAGTCCCGAGACTATTAAAGCTTCATCTGACGCAGAACCGGTGGGCTAGCCAGAACCCACGGGTTTGGGCCCTCCGCTGTGGGTAGGGCCACGCATGTGCTCATGCGTTCGTTTAAGTATGGTGTGTCATCTAAGGGCCATCGAGGTCGCGGTTCGGACCGAAACCCCTATGGCCGTCGACTGTGCAATTAGCTAATCGTTGGCTGGGAACGGTGAGAACCGCCCCGGAACGCAGGTGTACCTTGTGTACACGTTGTGTTGGTCTTGCCGTGCTCGGAGGCGAGGGCGAACTAGTGTGTTTGTTGTTGCACTAACTGTGGGTGTAGTGTTATCCGGCGGGACCCCCGGCAGTGGGTCCGGCGTATCTAAGTCCCCTTCCTCGACCGGGTCGATTAGGACGTTTCGCGGGCGATGCTTGTTGACGTTCGCGTTTGTGTCGGGTTGGTAATTTGCTGCGCTTACCACCAGAGGGTTGAGATGATGTTCGGCTCTATCGAAGAACCGTTTGGTCAGGTCTTTAAAATATTCGCGAATCGTCGGGAGTCTGGAATGCGTAAGACATAATAGGTCGTACGCAGGTCTTATATAATAATAATTTGTGCCATTCGGGCATTTTACTTTTAGCGTTAGTTAAATTGTGTAGCCGGCCGAAGACGAACGCGGCTCTATTGCTTATTTACTGTACGAACGGTAAGAACCACCCGGAACGCAGTGTACCCTATGTACGCGTGATTTGTTTTTGTAAGATAGATATTTGGGCTTTCAGCCCATAGACTATAATTATAAACCTTCGTCCGGCACCAAGTCTCATGAAGAAAACAAATTTCCACGAGCCTCATAAACCCTAGCCAAGTAGTTATAACACCGCATATGAACATGCTTGCATTAACAAATTAATAAAGTCATTAACATAATTCCATCATGGGTCCGTATCATAGGCGGCCGTCGACTTATTATTATGACATATTGCAGTATAAGCGGTGTATTGGTTTCACAGTGCTCTCGTGCGAAGGTGAACTACAGTATGTCGTAGATTAATGCTAAATGTATGTACGGCGTTGTCGGTTGTTTTTGCCTGGACTCCCAAAGAATTCAAATAGCTTCTTACTCTTCCTCGATCGAAGTCGATGAAGACGTTACGTGGGTACGTCTGCGAATCGTTTTGTTTGTCACGTTTTGTTCGTTTGTTAATTTGCTGCGTTTAGTAACAGACTTTGGATGTTTTTCAGCTCAATCGGAGAAACGTTTTGTTACTTCTTTAGAATGGGCGCGTAACGTTGAGAGCCTGCAAGCGTCTACGTTATATCAAAGGTTGAACCGGATAAATTTATGATTGGTGTTTAGGGAACATATAAGAAAGATATGCAAGGCGTACATTAAGTGTCGTAAGCAAGCCGAATAAAGCGAGAAATTATACCTTGATATTATATATTTAGCCTGAAGAGTTCAAGAAATCGCAAAGTTGAACTGAAACGAACGCAGCTATCACGCTTTTCGAAGCTGCTCACATCTGTTCTTCATTTGCGACACCATTCTAGTAATAAATAAAACAATAATAAAATAACAAGAGTTTCTTGCCGGTTCTTCCCTGGACAGTTCTAGTTTTGTGAACCGGTGGTAATTTTTTGGCGTAACGTAAGAGCTTAAAATAAGCCTATATTGAATAAAGAGATTTTGACTTTGACTTTGATTCACTGAAGCTATCATCGGCGCCTTAGAGTGTAGAGTGTAGTTATTGAGACTAAATAGTGTGTGGTGGCTGGTGGTGGTGGTAAGGGACATGATACTTGAGGACCCAGCGAAGGAGATGGCTCTTGGACAGACTGCCCTCTCTAATCGGTGAAATGTCTTTGCGACATCGTGCAAATGTATATAGATAGTGTAGTAATCAATACAGCATGTCTTTACCATCGCGACAGTAAATGAACACACATATAGAGAATAATTTTTTAAAATTGTATTAAAGATTTACATTCTTTAAACATCAATATTTACCGAGTTATCAAATTTTCCAAAACAAAGAATTTTAGAACACCCTTACGTATAAAACTTTAATGTAAAGTTCATTTGTAAAGGTCACAAAGCATATGAATGGGTTGAATGAATTTACAAACAAATTTTGTTTCTTTTTTACTTAATTAGTTTGTTTGAAAAATATTATTTTTTTCATTATGGATTTTTTTAACGTTAATATTTTTTATGATTATTGGCAAGTAGCGTTAGTCGTGTGTTCATTTATTGTCGCGGTGGTAAAGACACGCTGTATATTAATACTCGAAGCAAAAACTTTGTACTTCATTTTACGAAAATTGCGCGGACGGACTATGAAATTTCCGCCACCTACAGTTTATATAGAGGAGTGCAGAATGGTTTTACATTAAATTAATAAAAAAAAACATTACACATATACCACGTATAATTAATTATGGTCAAATTTAGACCACTAGGCGATCACTATTATAGTGAATTGGTTAAAGTTTATGAAACGATAGACTGAAAAATGCTTCAAATGGATGGCAGATTGCGCAGTGATAATGGTCGCTCCTGTGTTGGAGTAGAAATATTCCTTAAGTGTTGAAAATTACTCAAAGGTATAGTTTCAAT